AGCTTAGCCATCGTCAACTTAACATGTTTAGGAAAACATGTTTTGGGCACTTCCTCGATGTCAAGATCACCTTCAATGGTCCATTGATTCACCATTTGCTATTGAGGGAGGTTGAGGACAAAAGACCGGACGTGGTCAGCGTGGACCTCTTCGGCAATAAGTGCACGTTTGGCCGGGAGGAATTTGACATTATAATTGGACTGAAGTACGGGAGGAGGACGAATCAGAAAGGTGGGCACCCTGTAAGGTTACGATCTCTATATTTTAAGGATAGCGTAGACCTCACGGTAGGTGAATTTGAAGCGATATACGAGGTAGCACAATTTGAAAATGACGATGATGCTGTCAAAGTTAGTATGGTCTACTTCATGGAGCTTGCACTTATGGGGAGAGAGAAGAGGTAACTGGTGGACACCAGCTATTTCAGAGTTGTAGATGACTGGGAGTTATGTTGCAACTACGATTGGGGCATTGATGTCTTTCAAAAGACCATGAAAAGCCTACGTCGTGGCTTGTATATAAAGAAGAAGGGGAAGGAGAGCGAGCTAAAGCCTTCGTATAGTCTATATGGGTTTCCATATGCATTTCAGGTATGTATTATAAAATTTTTAATGAAGTTCGTATAGTGTTGTATTAGAAAAAAGTTTTAATTGATTATTGATTAGGTTTGGGCGTACGAGTGCATATCATCACTGAGCGGACGCGTTGCCAGTCTTAGCAAGAGTGACGCAATCCCGCTCATTCTGAGATGGTCGTGCTCACATTCGACTGCATATATCGTTCTTGAGAGTGATATATTCTGATCTTCAACTGTACGTTAATATTATTTATTATATAAGTTAATTTGTGGTTGAACTTGCATGACATGTGAATGTATTTTCTTATGCAGGCGAGAGTCACTGTACAGCTACATGCGTCCGATGAAGAGAAGGCTTTCATGAAAAGAGTTATCGAACGACCATTAGCTGACGCAGAGCCTGTTCCTGAAGTGGATAAGCCTGTTCCTGTTGAGGACGCAGAGAAGGGGCAGACCGAAATAACTCTTGAAGGTCTTCATCAGCAAGTTGCAAGAATGGACAGGTGTTTAGATGGGATGGAAGATGACCTAAAGGCGATTAGGAAGTACTTAAGGCATCTTTCTAAGGTATTTGTTCGATTCAAGTTATACTACTTTTACACGTGAAGTTATAATGGGTTGTATTGAACGTAACAGGGTGTGGCCGTTGATCTAAACGAGCTTAAGAAAACGCAACGAAATGTGCATCTGGAATCTGCAGAACCGGAACAGAACGATTTGGAGGTAATAACATTGCTTTTTCAGTTATTGTTATGTAATAGTTTCATAGATGTATAGTATAAAGCCGAAACCTTGCAGGACGTTATCGATGCGACACCGAAAAAGGTTGGGAAATCGCCTCATTCAGTTGTCGAATCTGGACCAACCACCGTTGATGTCGTGGCTCCAAAGGATCCTCTGCCCGATGCCTGTACTAGTGATAGGGACTCGGACGCATGTACATAACGAGATGTGCCGCCCATCGATATCCAGGATCCCATACCGGACGCAGGTACCAGTGATAGGGACCCGGCCATCGATCTTCAGGATCACCGTCTCGATGCCTGTACTAGTGAGGTGGTGGTCGCAGACAATTTTCTTGCATCGCAACCCGACGATAAGGACCTGCCTATCAACACGGTCACCGCTAATATCGTCTCTTCGAAGGTGTGTATACTAAGTCATATGTTATGGCCCACGTTTGCATGTACTGACCCTCTGTATTGTTTCAGGATCCACCGATCGACGTGCACTCGCAAGCGGAGTCGGTGGTAGCTTCTAGTCAGTCTCGAGACTCACGAGCTGATTTTCATACTCCGAAAGTTCGTCGAGGTCTCGAAAGAGGCAAGTTCCATGGAAACTTCGTAAGTCGTACGAAGTAGTGGTTGGCGGTAAGAAGAGAAAGGTCTTAGCCTACGACCCCTTATGGGAGATACCTTCTGAAGCAGACGCCAATTTTCAGACATAGATGGACGATCTGAAGTGTAAATCGCGGAGCACGGTATATGCCAATCGACAGAAGTCATGGTTCGTCGGCCTATTGACTCCCTAGAAATGGTTATCTGGCGAGGTATGTGGTTCTTAAAGATTAAATATCATTCGGTGTTTAGTTCCATTATTTAATTTTCATATGATATGTTACATATATGCGTAGGTTATCGATACACTCTTCATGTTCACGAGCAAGAAGCTCACGCAGCGGACGGACCTATGTTCTCGGAAATTTACCACCGTCGACATACTCTTTATGGTATGTAGACAAACTTGTACATACTTAATTGCAAAGAGGAATAGTTGGTAATCATGTCTCATCTGGCTACAGGATTTCCTTCTAAGGACGGACGGCCCATATGAAGAACTTCAGACACCTTTTTCCGTGCGAACAAGAATGAAGTATAATTGGGAGCTAAACGCGAAGTCCATATTAAGCTACGTATACGGAACACACTCCGACTACGACCATGCATGGAAAGACGTGGACGCAGTCTACATGCCAGTGAATATTAGAGGAAACCACTGGATTATGGTTCGTGTCGATTTCGAGGAGGGTGAGTTGGTCGTGTGGGATTCCCTCCTGTCATTAACGTCGGACGCCGAGTTAGAAGCGGCGTTGAATCCCATGCGGACAGTTTTACCAGCATTACTGCATCACTGCAGGATGATGTCTGTTCGCCCAAGTCTCTCAATCATGTCGTGGCGCGCTCGGCGGGTGGTGTCAGCACCTCAACAGGACGGTGATGGGGATTGTGATATATTTACTGTAAAATTTTTTGAATACGACGTAACGGGTTCTAAAACAAGAACCCTAATTTAGGATAGAATGTTATTATTTAGGAGGCAGTTCGCAGTTCAAATATGAGCGAACAGACCGGTATTTTGATTACCTCAAGTTATTGAACTTTTTCTCTTTCGATATTTTATGCGTTGAATTTTTATTCGGAAATTGACCTTTATTTGTTATGAATGTTTTTTGTATTGGTCATTTTTTTGTTTACAAGTAGCTGGCTGAAATCCCGAGCAACATATTATAAATCTCCATCCAAATATTTTACTGACTTTGAATATATACACACTGGTCAAAATCTCCCCCGAGTTTATATCGATCTCCCCCGAGTTTTGAAATATCAAACGAAATCCTGGCGGAGTTCTTCTGGGTCTCCCCCGAGTTTTTTTCCAGAACATTAGAGGACACGACCGTCTAAACCCCCCCGAGTTTCAACCGATCTCCCCCGAGCTTTTTTCCAGATCATGCATTTTTTTACTCAAAGCATTCAGAAGTGATTTGAATAATACTAAAAAATAATGTAAAGAAACTTAGGAAAGTATTCAATAACTTTAAGAAACTTGAGTTTCAAATGTCTGAGCTTACAAAAATCACGTAAAAAATGAACGCGTATATCTAACTATCTGAAGTTCTAAGCGGCTGTCAACATGTTTTTCTGTTATCTCCGGTGTTTCCACAACGACTGCATTTGTGGACTTGGCGAGTCTCTCCAGCCGACGGTATACGTACGGTCTGTCTTCTCCCTACTCTCTGTACTATCTTCGGCAGCTCAATGTTTCGGTGGACGAAATTATCAGGTAAAACCCAATCTTCCTCATCCCCGAGAGGATACACATGTTCGGCATACACGTTAATTAGTGTTTGGAGGTTGTATGCAGACGAGCATAGAGAATACCTGTTGACATTCTGAAACATTGCCGCAGCAATAGCATGCGAACATAAAAGCTCGTAGAAGTCGAACTCTTTGCATCCACAGGTCCTAGCATTTAAATTCACACGATAAATTTAAATCCATCGTGTACTTCCAGCTCGTGCAGATCAATGGGTGTTATGGAGTACGTTCGAGAGAGGTTCTCTACGGCCCGCATATTTGTCTCTCCGTAGTCAGTTAGAATTGTCTCTCTGCTAGATGTGTAAGTTCGCCTCTCGTAAAACCATCGTTGAACAAGATCGCGCGCCTGTTCAAGAAGCGCGGTAACTGGCAAAGCACGTGCATGGGAGAGGACTGCATTCATTGACTCTGCGTTATTGGATGTCATTTGGTCATACCTCAATTTCGGCTAAAATGCACGTGTCCATTTCTCAAAACCGGTTCCTTCTAAGTACCTCTGAACGTCTGGGAAGCCTGCCAGTTGTGAAAAGTAGTACCTAAAATCGGATTTCTAAAATGCCTTTGCTGCCAAAATGAACATTCCTTGCATGTCATCGTTCTTGAACTTGTCCTTCATGTTCATGGACAAGTGATGCATGCAAATCCCGTGTACAGCCTCTAGAAACACCTCTCGGATCGATTTCGTAATGGAAACGTGTCGGTCTGATACGAACAGTAATCCATCCACCTCTCCTATAAAATGTTTCAACCCCTCCAAAAACCAGGACCATGATGCATCGCTTTCTTTATCGACAATTCCAAAAGCTATTGGATAGATCTGATTATTACCATCAACAGAAAAAGCAGTAAAGATAATCCCTTTGTATTTCCCCTTCAAATGTGCACCATCTATCACAAGTACTAGGCGGATGCAACTAGAGAACCCCCTAATACAACAACACAGGGTCATGAATGCGTACTTGAAATACTTGTCTTCCTCCAATTCCATTTCAAAGACCGTACCAGCGTTCACAACTTTTAATGCCTCCCCATACCTACGTAAACAATTATATGATTCTTTTGGTGATCCCATCAATATATTCAATGCGACTTCCTTCGCAC